TAACTTAACTGTGACAAGACTGAAGTCATGCTTATTGGCACCCCCCACATCAACTTCGTAAAGCCAATCCTGTAACCCTATCTGTAGATGGTTCTTTACTCATTCTCCATAAAAGATGCTCAGAGTAGATGGGGTTTGTCTGCTGAAGCCCTCAAAGTCTCCTTGGCAGTGAGACCTCAGATCGCAGGGTGAGATTTGCTGTAGCAAATTAAAAGAAACCTTATCTGTAGATGGTTCTGTACTTGAGCTTCAATCTAAATTGAAAAACCTTGGGGTTATATTTGATTCTGGCTTAACATTCGACCCACAGATGCAGCATACTGTCAAAACATCTTTTTTTCACCTCAGAAATATCGCTCGACTACGCTCTATGCTATCACTGACTGTGGCTGAAAAGCTGATCAACGCATTTGTGTTCTCTCGATTTGACTACTGTAATGCTCTACTCGCTGGGGTATATAAATCCACTTTGAACAAACTGCAGTACTGTATGTCCAAAATTCAGCAGCAAGAACCCTGACCAGGTCTAGTGCAAGTGATCACATTACTCCTATCCTGGAGTACTTGCACTGGCTTCCTGTCGAATTCTGTGTTGACTTTAAAATCCTCATGCTCACCTATAAGGCTCTGCATGACTTGACACCTCAGTAACTCTGAACTATTATGTCTGAACTATTATTGCCCTACTCCCCACCCCGCAACCTTCGCTCTTCAAATTCTGGTCTCCTTACTGTCCCCCAAGCCCGTTTACATTGTATGGGTGACAGGACCTTCTCCTGTTATGCCCCCAAGCTCTGGAACTCTCTGCCCAAGGATATCAGAGAGTCACCTTCTCTAAACTCCTTCAAATTCAGACTCAAAACCTTCTTCTTTAGAAAAGCCTTTACTTAACTGTTCCATTCTTCACCCCTCTGCTTTTCTTAGTACCACCATTCTCAGTCTCCCCTGTATATTGTAATTGTTTTATCTTATGTGTTCATTTTATTTATTGTTGTTCACATTCTGTAAAGCGCTTTGAGAAGCCACCTTTAAAGGCGCTATATAAAATAAAGTTTATTATTACTAGTGAAGACTAAGTACTTTAAAAGAATCAAATTCTGTTTAGTATACCAGAATAAGTTGTCAGATAATGGAAAGTCTTAGGTAAAATTATCTTGCCATCTTTCATTTAACAGCATCAGTTATCTCAGAAAAATGTAAAGGAGATAATCGATAATGCTACAAGGGTTACAATTACTACTGCTTGGTTTAAGCTTTATTGTTCACCACTCCAAAATATCTTCAGAGCCCCAGATGGGCTATTAGGCCTGCTACACTACAGTACATAATTACAACCCAGATAAATGCAGAAATACTGTATCCTTCTCGCTGTATGCAGAGACAAATTGTTACTCTCACTGTAGAGACTCCGCTCCTACACAAGGTGATGGCATATGCTTACTCAATGGAGCCAATAAAAATAATCCAGGGAGAGGCAAGTCAGGACAGAAGGAATTAAATATTCCCTTTCTTGCAAATAGTGTATAACCGCAGTCTACATCATGAACAAACTTCCTAAGATTTTATTTCAACCTTAGACAAGACAGCCATTCTTTAGAGAAAAAAAAATGAGCCTCCAATACAAGCAAAACAGATCTTCAGTACAGACAGTACAGACTTCAGTACCTTCTGGGCGAGCTTTCGGTTTCTTCAGTCCCCCATCCTGCATGAGCTCAAAGGCAAAGGCCACATTATGAACCTGGAAGAAAGATTGCAGGGGGAGTTTACAGTATGTAACAGCCAGTAGGGATTGTACCCAGACTAGAGAAGCCATTTGACAGGAAGAGTTTTGTGTAGAGTTCTCCCTATTTCTCTTAATACTAAAATAACTGTGCAAGTTGAAGTACCTTTGCTTCATGAGCTAATATGACTTTAATACTAAAAGATGAAACAGCAGTACTGAATGTTCTAAATAAATATTTCAGAGGTTTTTTTTTTTTTACACAAGGGGATGTCAACGACTTGCCCCAGGTTACAGAAGAAGCTCTATTAGCATAACTGACACATTGATCACAGGGACTTGGACAGCTCAAAAATAAATCATCAGCTCCTGACAGCATTTTCCCAGTTGTACCTAAGGAAATGAGGAATAACTTTCATAGATCTTTAACAAGGATATTTCAGCTGTCACTCAGGAAGGGACCTGAACCCACAGATTAAAGAAATAGAAATGTAAAACCAATTTGTAAAAAGGTAAAATCAAGTCTTATTTACAGTACATCACTGAGAAAATAGAGCCAAGCAGAAAGTATGAATACAGCATTTTTCTAGTGTATGATGCATGAAAGGGATTTGGGTATTTATGTAGATTCTTCACTGTCCTCATTAAGACAGTGCAGGTAAGTAATGATTTACAGTAAATGGAAAGCATTTTCAGCGCTGTAACTTAAATCAAGGGAAATTATACTCAAGCTTTGTAATGCATTAGTAAGATGTCATTAAGAAGACATTGCCCTGTTTTTGTCACCATACCACAAAATATTATAGCCATAGGAAGACATGAAAGAAGGGCAACTACAATGATTCCTCAAGGAACTGTCAAACACAGACAGGATGAACTAAATCTGTATATTGAATATAGGAGATTGAGGAGATACAGTATAATCAGAACACAGGGATATAGACATATGTCAATTGAGGGGACTACTTCCAAGTTTAGAGACAAAACATGGACATGGGGCCACAGTTAGAAACAAAAGGGAAATTAATTTAGGACAAAAAACAGGAAACTTTTTTACTCAAAGCTGTGGGCATCTGGAATAGGCTTTCCAGCCAGTTGGTTGAGGCCTAAAAACACTGGGCATCTTTAAAAAAAAATTCTGGATTAAATTTTCCTCCTAAATTACCATTCAGTAATTTTGCTCATTCCCCCTGTCAAAATGAGTATGAAGATACCATTACTTTAAAAAATTAAAGGTGATTAAAGTCATTAAATGACTGCAGCTACCACCCAGGTATGGACATGCATGACTAATTTCACCAATATTCATCCCAAATGATCACTTCAGGGTTAGAACAGTGCTTCTAGGTGGACCACAGACCTCAAAGCAGATCATCACCCTGGCACTGATCTCCTTTGTTATTTCAGCTCAGGTTCTGCCTACAGCTGAGCAAGCGAAGTGCTCAAAAGTACCGACATTTGTTTCCAACTTCATTTTTACACGAGAACTCATGTCAGCTGGAGCATTAAGCAGTGATGCATACCTTCTGATCAAAGTTCTCAGGGGTGAGAAAAAAGTTGTAGAGAGGAACAAAGTAGTTCTCCAACAGTCCCATCAGCAGCACTAAATACACACCATCTGCAAACTAGAGACAGGAATACAGACTGTCAAAAAACTGAGGGAAACAACGGCCAACATTTTAACATACTGGCAACAAAAGTAGACAGACGGCACAGTATTACTGATGTGATCAAAACATCTATCAATACTACAGAAAAACTTACTGCAATGTAATTAGGAAATTAGTAAGAAATACAGTAGTTAAAGTAGGTACTGTAGCTGCGTCAGCATTCGTAGGCTGCAAAAGAACAAGTAACAGTTTATTTCATGATGAAAAGAGAAGAAAAAAACATTCTGGCTGTGGAGCCTTATGTGGGGAAAAATTGTGTTTTTCTTCTCTTTTCAGTAAGAAATATAGTCACATTCTCAGTCAGGTTCCAGATAATTATCACAGAATAAAGAGGTCAAGGATCTAAATCCCAGGCCCCATAGCTAAGATACGACTCTACTAATAGAGTGAGCTGCAACTCCAGTATTGCACAGAAGTGAATAAGGCAGGCAGACATATCGTACATGTATGGTGCTCTGACGCATCCAACTGCAGAGTCAATCTACAGTGCATTTAAAACCAAGAACAGGAGGCACCAAGAGGGCTAGAGGAGTCTGGGACTATGTTGCTGAAGCTAATCATGTGGTTTCTTTAAAGAAAAGGCTGGGTGAGATCCTTAAGTCAGTTCTCCTAACTGCTGTGACAACATGCCTCTGTCTGGCTCCACTTTTTTACTGCCTCGAGCAGAGGTAGAAAACCAGTGTGTATTCGCTCAGCATTAGGTTCCCTTGTGTAGGTAGCTGGAGCACCGGGGCTCTTGGAGAAGAGTTTAATTAAAGGGCAAGCCATAAAGCTTGAAATGGAATTAAAAATTCTCTGGTTGACAGAGATGAAAAAAAATCGCGCCTAAGCTGAGAAGCTGTTGGTGTGGTACTGAGACGATTGCCCAGGCAGCCGCATGAATATCCAATATAGTGCTCTCAATTAGAGACGCAGATGGTACTGATGAGAGGCCTTCGCAAACGGCTGTCAGGGAGAAAAAAAAATACAGGACAGCCTGTGGTGGGTCTATGGGCCCTCTAGTGGTAAGCAGCAGAAAGAAAACGTTTTCTCTGCTGTGTCACGCTACCAAATGGGCTAGTTGATTCAAATGCCTTCCTTTTGCTTGTCACAGTTCTTATGTTCTCATGGATCATTTTACTAGGACTCCACAAGCAGCTGTGGACAGTTGTCTGAGCAGCACTCGGGTAGTGCAGTATTAGTGGGATCAGGCTCTCTTGGGTCGCAGTGACAGAGTGGCTCCTGCGGACTCCCTTTCTCCAGTCAGCGTTGAAAACTGGGTACAGGGCTGTGCTGCTTGAGCTCCTAACTCGTGTCAAAAAATAAGTGGCTTGAAGGAGGGGGGGGCTGGGGGTTCTCCCCTGTGTGCAGTCATGAGGTTCATAGATGCAAGGCGAGCCTGGAGAAACGCGTAACTGGCTGTTCCAGAGCGGGTGGAAGGAACGGACAAAACAGGTGATACGCCATTTCAAAATAAGATCCTGGACCTTATGTGGAAAAACAAATTCCTTTAGTGAGAAAAAGAGGTGCTGTGTGCTTTGGATAGCCTCACCTGAGTTTCCAGTTCAGTCACCTCCAGGTTTAGCTTATTAAGGTGCTTGTTCACGAAGGTAATGAGAGACTGGCAAGGAAGAGAGATAAGAACAGCTGCTTATCCTCATCACAGAGTAACATATTGGTAACTTACTGTTCGTAAATGCAATCATTAAAGATGTATATACTTCTTAACTTAGAGCAGATAGCTCAAATGTAGAAGGATGGAGGAGGTCAATTACTGCAATAACTAATAATAAATCTCTTTGACAGATGACTTCCAGGACACTACTGACCACATTTCAATTTGATATACTTAACAAAACCCTGAATGTGCTAAAGTACTAATGTTTCCCCATTAATAAGACCCAGAGTGTTTTACCTTTTTAACAACATTAAGTTTGTCGGGTGCATGATCCAGGAGGGTATCAAAGGCATCTCTTTCTACAAATTAAAAATAAAAACGTCAAAACCTACAATGTACATTGAGCACCCACTTCTCAAGAAATTGAAACTTTAATTAAATGTTTACCAAACCTAATTACACTGAACACCACATGACAAAGAAAAAAATATTCTTTTGAAGTTGAATTTTATAAAGCTGCTCTCACACTTGAACCCCTACTGCCACCCTCAATGTTCTTACGTTTCCCCGGCTGCTTTAACAATTACTTTCAGGATGTCTATCAAGCTACCAAAAATAAACACCTTCAAAAGGACTTACCAAATCTTCCCATCATCATTCTACAGAAAAAGAAAAGAAACACAAGAACGTGTCAATTGAAAGCCACAGAACATTAAAGTTCTCCTTGCAGGCTTGTTACTGATCAAGGTGTAGCTTATCCCAAGAATATTTTTGCAAATTAAATCCAAATTGTCTCACTACAGAAACTGCTCTGAAAACCAGGAAAAAACTAAATGGACAAGAATCTTACATATTTAAAATGAATATACAGTAAACAGAATTAGGACACCCATGAAGAAACAATACTCAAAACCTTTTTTTAATCCCCTAAACACAATTCACCACTAACTCAGAATTCAAATTACACACAATCCTGTATCTAGTGATACATTTATCAAAACCAATTACTTGAGAAGCCCATTAAAATTAATCAAGTAAACAATAATAAAACATAAGACATTTACTTAATGTAGTTATAGTATTGATTATAAGCAGGTTAATTAAAATTACTGTAGGTTAAATGCTACTGCACTGACTCCCATGTACTTCCTATATGAATTACTTTCTAGGGAAACCTTCTAGCTCTGAACAGGTTAAAAACACATTCCTATTAAGCCTTGATACAAATAAATGATTCAGAGATCCTAAGTAGCTAAGTAGCCAGCCAGCATGGATTGTCCTTCCTAAGAAACCTCTGCTCTTTTAATGAGTGTACTATAACAATGAATGTATTGTATAGAATTTGTTGAATCCGTGTTAATTTTCACTGCAATGTGTTTGGTAATCTTAATACACACAATAAAAACAGACTGAGCAGGAAAGTGAAGGCTTCCCGCAAAATTATCAGTGCACAACAGCGACAGCCATCACATATCTACACCAGTCAAACAAAGCATGGAAGGCCAATATAGTATTTTACTGTCATGATCACCCCTTGCACGGTGAATTTGAGCTCCATCCATCTGGACATTTTAGACCACCTAGATTCAAATCCAATAGAACCAAGTTATCCTTTAGTCTCACAGCACTTAACCGGTGCTGTTGGACAACTGATTGGATTTTTTTCCCCCAATCATACATGTCTTTTATTCGTTAATGGATTAATGTTGTGTTAAATGTATTGCGTCATCTCTTTCACCTGCCTGCAATGCTAATTTCTCATCTGGGAGCATAAAAGGAAGTAGTAAAAACCACTAGAAGGTTGATCCCTGGAGTATACAAGTCTGGGCTGTTAATAACCAGGTAAACACAACCTGATTCAAATCCATCCCACTCCAGAGGCCCTGGAGCAGCAGCCATCCCACCCTGCAGCCCACTGAAGCTCAGCAGGTGTGAGCCAGGTCAGCACATGGATGGGAGACCTCCTGGGAAAAACTAAGGCTGCTGCTGGAAGAGATATTAGGGGGGCAAGCAGGGGGCGTTCACCCCGCAGTCCATGTGGGTCCTAATGCCCCAGTGTAGTGATGAGGACACTATACTGTAAAAAGGTGCCGTCCTTTGGGTGCGAAGTAAAACCGAGGTTCTGACTCTGTGGTCCCAGGGTATTTCTCAAAAAAGTAGGGGTGTTACCCCGGTGTCCTGGCCAAATATCCCCCTAGCCTTTACCAATACTGGACCCCTAATAGTCCCCATCTATGAATTGGCTTCATCACTCTGTTCTCCTCCCCACTGATATCTGATGTGTGGTGAGCGTTCTGGCGCACTATGGCTGCCGTTGATCATCCAGGTGGATGCCTCACATTGGTGGTGGAGGGAAGTCCCTATTACCTGTAAAGCGCTTTAATTGGAGTGTCCAGAAAAGTGCTAAAGAAGTGTAAGGAATTTTTATTAACAAATGAGCATTTCACCAAATTTACGTAAACTTTCCCTTTACCTACTATGAGACACTAGATGGCGACAGAGGTGCATCGTAAAGTGTACAATCTGTCAGAGATCAGCTGACTGAAATGTGAACGTCTTCTTCTTCTTAATATTCCTAACTTCGAGCAAGGATTCATAGAGCTGAAGCAACCCAAGTAAAGTACCCTACACAATGGTAAAACACTAGTGACCTGCCTAGGATTTGAACCCCTTAAACTTCCTGTTTGAGCCCTGACCACTACTTCACATTAAGCCTGCTGTGTCTTAACAGAGCATGAGGGTTTTGAGTGAACTTACTCTGTGGTGGTGGTAAGCTCCTTTGTCACATGTGATGCCTGAAGCATGCCTTCTCTTTTCTGCATTTAAGAAAGGAGACCTTCATGAGGAAGTTAACAGGCAATGCTGTACACATACAGGGCAAAGACCAAGACATACAGTATTTACTATTAAGGAAATGGCAGCTTTAAATTTACAGAGAAAAAAGGACACATTAAGGCAACCTTGCACTCAAAATGTATTCAAGGAAGCATCTTTTCTCTCATTTACTAAAGGAAAAAAACTTTGAGTGCCGTTTGCATTAAAATCCGTGGGTGACTGGACATGCACTATCACTGTACTGGCTGAATAAGTTCACAGAGCAGTGCCGCACCTAGAAAATCAGAGGATCACTGTAACCAGGAGATTACAGTGCTTCTGCATTTCTGTTTGGATTGTATCACCGCAAATGTTATTAAAATAAAGCTTTTAACAGAACTGTAATGTATGAAAGTCTGGAAGCAGACAAAGTGCAATTATTACAACATCTGATGAAAGGAGCAATTCTAAAAAGCATTTTTTAAATCAGTTCTTAAAAGCATTTCCAGTTTTTGTGCCTAGGGTCACAATTGCAGAGCTTTGCTGAGGATTCCTTTTGGCTAACCTCTGTGTATCTGGATTTACACAAGACCAAGGAGAGTCAGCTGCTCGTCATCACTGTGTCCATTACTCAGTAGGGTCAGGAGACTGACAGTCATTGGGATCTCATCTCTATCATTGTGCACTGTTTTGGTCTTCCCACTCACCTTGACGATGACCACCTGCACAGACACATGTTCCGGGAGGCGGATCGGGGCCTGGAAATGCATCGCCAGGGCAACCAGAAGGTAGACGATGGCCACCAGATTCTTGGCATGGACAGCTGTGGTATGAGCAAAAGCGTCATCAGTAAAGGTGATGCAACAACAGAGCTCCACTTCTGAGTCTTTAATACCATCACCTGAGGCACATATCAGGTTTTAGCAAGAGTTAAAGAGCTCAAATTGCAAGATCGATAAACATATATAAACAGCAGATTAGCTGAATCAAAACTACAATAGTCAGCAAAATCATGCATTTATCTCTAGACTCACATGCAGTTTTTAAAACAAATTGTAGAGGCAGTAGCTAACCATCGAAGACATTGTGAAGATCACTCAGGTTTTACAAAATGTCCAACATCACAATATAAAAGCTCTGATCTTCCCAACATTTGGAAAATGCAAACCAGATGGCTATTGTATCACAGTTTACTCCCTGCATGGCACATCTTACACTGAATCAGGGGCACTGGGACCTAAAAGTTACTGTTGTTATTGTATAAAACTAACTAGTCTACTGGGCTTCCCATTCAGGCTTAGTGTTGTAGGGCTGAACCATCAAACCCCAGTGCACAGCTCTTTCAATGGAGACTAGTACCTGCATCATCACTGGGGTAAGGCCACTTAATGCACATTCACCACAAGTAAAAACTCAGCAGATTTTCAAGGGGTCCCATGCAATTCAGGCCCAACGCAGAAGTTGCCCCTCTCACTCACAGTCCACACTCCATTCAATGGCCCAGCCATGAGGCAGCAGGAGCTCATTCACTGCCTCCAACACCGTCTGCAGCTTCTGCTTCTGCCCGATCTCCGACTGCGTCACCTCCGCCACGTTCAACTTGCGGCCCGACAGCTTCTCTACAAGACAGCAACAGATGCACAGACCTGAACAACTCTACACAAGCTCAAAAACTGGCTGCCATGAATTCGGTGAAAGTCATGTTGCATGAATGACAATAATTTAAATGCCTTTCTAACTTCCAGCCACAATCACAAAAAAAGTCAATGTGTACTTATTAATGAAATGAGTAATTAACTTAAGCTACTAGAGCTCAAATGTTATAAGGTATATCTGGCATAATCATCTTCTGGGCAATACACATACCAAATAACTTCTGCAGCACCTGGCCATCGTACACATCCTCCTCAAGGTCCTTCACAATGATTCTCTCCTCCTCCAGCTCATTGTTAATCCAGTCAATCAGGACCTGAAGCAAGCAGCCAATTCGATACAGTAGGTGCCATGTTTAAATCGTGAACTATCTTGTTGAAAAGAGAAATAGAGCTAATACTCTGCCAAAATGAAAGGAGAATGTATGTGGAATAAGAATGTATGCAGAATTCTCAAAATGTCCAGCTGTTGCCATTAATAATATAGTTATTCTATGTAATTTGTGTCCTTCTCAGGAAGAGTTCACAGCATTTAGATGAACATTGTAATTTCTCCAAAAAAAAGAATAGCACATTATGGCATAATGACTCACTCAGAAGCAAACACACAAAAAAATATATTTTAAAGGACTTACCTTCATTAATTCTTTAAATTTGCCATCTTCCCTGGAACTGGGGTCCAGCATAGTTCTCTCAGCATTTTCCTCTGTGGAGAAATTCATGGTGAAAGAACCGACAGGACTGAAGCATTACAGTGACTAGCTCTCAGAGTGCTGCCAGCTCATGTATTCTTTAGGCGTGAACTATCCACATGACCCATGGGATTGTACTTAACCCAACATGCAGTTCAATGTACTATATCAAGTTCTTCTTTTTATTTAAAAACATGTCTGCTGCAGATTCTGACATTTTTAAGCATCATTTCATATTTAAAAATAAATCTGTAGGTAAACAGACAGTCCACATTTATTAGAAAACCAATTTCAGAGTCTGTAGGAACCTCTGGTGCTCACAATAGGTACTGTATATTTGTTCTTTTCTTAAGTCTGAGTTTCAATCCTCTCAACCCCTGCAATTGGGCTAAACTTTCATAACTTCATGTCTTGCAATTCTTTGTTATTTATCACCATCACAACCATTTTTTCCCTCTTTGCTCGGGTAAGATCGACATCATCCAATAATTCTTTATTGTCTGATTTCTCAGAAATATATTTTGCATCAGAACAGCTGTGTTTTACACACAAAGGCTTACAAAAAAAAAATTACATAAAAGACAATAACGCATACATGGCCATTACACATCACTGCTTACAGGAAGTTACACAGCTTACCAGAGCCTGTACTCCCCCCCAATCACCCTAAGCCCCTATAAATGCTCAATATCCCTTCATTTTTGCACTAACCACCATTTGCAATTGTCCACAAACCATCCATTTTCTAACTGCTTCTTCCAATTCATGGTCGCAGGAGAGTAAGAGTGGACGCTGACGAGGAAAGGGCTCAAGGAAGGGGACACCAGTCCATCAAAAGCAGAGAGGCACTGAAGCACATTCACACCAGGGCCAATTTTCCCAGGAAGCCAATAACCGAACAGTATGTTTTTGGACTGTGCATGGAAACCGGAGCACCTTGAGGAAGCCTGAGCGAATGCAGGGAGGACACAAACCCAACCCAGGCAGCACCCCGTATCTGGAAGTGAACCCAGGGTCCCAGCGCTGCCGGGTAGGAATACTAGCCACTGCACCCCCATGCTGCATGCCCATAAACCAATACTCCTTTATTGTGAACTCACCGATTGAGCAGTTTTATGGTAAGTGAGCTAAAGGTTTTCCTCATTTTATTGCTTCTGCATTGACTCTAAAATGTCCGTTTGAAGGCATCAGTCGGTATTTTTCCCCATGCGGAACATGTGAGGTATCCAAGGAGGTACTCAGACATCCCCACTTTGGAAAGATTGATTTCAGGGAGGGGGCAGGGGGTTGAGTTTGGTTGGTCGTCCCTCCCCTTGAAAAAAAACTCACAGCTATATAATTAATTTGCGGATAGATACTATAATATATATGCAATACGCTGTAAATACTATAACTCACCAGTCCAGTTGTTTAATCTCACTTTCTTTGCAAACTTTTGGCGTACAGAGATGCACCTTGGTTAGCTGATTTTGAGCAGATTCTCAGATGGCCCAAGGTCATATGATATAACTAAATAATTCGCCGGTGATTTTTCGGACCAGGGGTGTCGCCAACAGAAAAATATGGGAGCGGGGAGAGGGCAATTTCTAGGAGACACTGATTCCCGGGAGATTCCCGGAACGGAACGGGAGACTTGGGATGTCTGAGGTACTAATAACACCCTGGTGTTCTTCACACCAAGGGAAGTACAGTAGATGAGAATGATGCTATCAAATCCAACTTCCTAGGATCCTTCAAGTAGCAGCAGGATCAATTAGCTACCTGTAGTCAAATGAGCAAGAAAGGACCTGTTCTGAAGCTCAACTACAATATATCCTCTGCACTACAACAAGTGAAAAACTACTTCCTCCCAAGGGAAAACCAGACAGCTTCTAACCAGCCATCTTCAGGGAAACTTATTTACACCACTCCGAGATGTCTCAGGTCCTTTAGAGAGAGGAAAAGCTTATTTACCATCAATATGTGCAGAGCAAATCAGTGTAAAACAATGAAGAGAAGTGTCTGATGGACACAAATTCACCCTTCTTTTGTCAGCATTTTTGCTCCATTTTTGAAAGCATCTATGGCACTGCAGGTGCTGTACTGTATGGCCTAGGGGCACTCATTTCGGTTCTATTTTTGCTCCAGGGATCTTTTTCAAATAATGTTTCTGAGGTTGCGGTAAAACTGGGCACGATTTGGTAAACTCTTCAGGGAAAGCTAATGCAAACATTTAAGCCGCAGTAGAAAATGGAAGATTCAGTGCACCAAATGAGGGCGGTGGCCCTATCAGTGTCCTCCGTACAAGACAGGACACAAAGGCGGCGTTATGAGGGAGAGGACTCTCTTCAGAAAGTGGAAGTGATTCAGAGATGACAGGGTGAACCACAGGGGTTAAGAAGGAGGTGGACTCCACAGTCCGTCAAAATGAAAGTCAGCTCTGTTGCTCAAGGGCGGGGAGCTTGTATTGCTTTATCACCACTAGAAAGCCACTTCCTCCATGAAATCCTAATATAAGTAGCCATGACTGTTTATGTGGAGGTAAATATTTACTGGTTCGTTACCACTCAACCCACACGTCAAATGCATTTATATTAAATAATTATGTCTTATAAATAACAAACTAGTAAGTGACCATTTCCCGAAATATGAACATGTACGGTTTTCCAACATTTTGCTCCCTATAGTTTCCCTTAACTTAATTATCATATTAATCTGACTTTTACTGTGTTCTATTTTATACCATTTTTCATATTATGACTGAGGAAACCATAGCCTTCATAGTATCTAACTACATTGTCACAATTCACCTTGGCAAACAGCTTTGGGGCCCAAACTGAATACCTTTGAATATCTCGGATGCTACAAAAACACTTTAAACTGCAGCTCTGTTGGTGTGTGCGTTCTCTTCTTCAAGATATCAAAACATCAGTGCTATTTCAAGGACAAAAGCCGCTACACAAGACAATCATTCAGCCCACAGTGGAAGCTTAACCTTATGTGACAAGCTATCAAACACTAAAAGCAATGAAGCCCAGAACCACAGACAAATCCAATACAGGTTTGTATAAAATTTTCACTGACCTAATTCCTCTAACAAAGTCTAAAACAGAGCCTTGAATTACATCTTCTGCTCCACTCAGTTCTATGTGTAGGCTGTGAGGGAAGTTACAGGCTCTAACTGCTCCTAGCATGTCTCATACTACTGCACCTCAGACTTAGAACATAACTGTTACAAATGAGGGGAAGTCATCCAGGCTATTTGATAGTTAGGAGCAAACTAATCCAATGACCGTATCAAGCCTTTTCTTAAAAGAAAACATTTATCATATTTAGCACAAAATGTGTCCCATTAAAAAAAAAGGGGTATTACTTTCTCCCGCCCCACCCAGTTTCAAGTAGGAAAAGACATTTGTAGCAGCGTGCAAAATAAAACACATCTGATCACATTACCAAGCAGGGTGTCCTCAGGGTGGAGGTCTGTGCTGAAGGGCTGGAGGGGAGAGTTGATGGCATTCTTTCCTTCTTCCTGCAGGTCACTCACTGTGGGACACAGGGGAGAGAATAACAGGAGGGATTTTTAAAAGACTGAAACCGGAAGAAGCAGCTATAAGCATTTAAAGGTTTAAATCTGACAGGAGAGTGCAGGTGGGGCAGTTCCTTCATCAGGTAAACTGGAAAAGGAAAGGAACTTGGCATGTGAGGGTAGCAATCTAAAATATCAAAGAATTAAACATTTTCCAGGCTGCATCGTTTTCAGTTTAATTCTAGTTCGACAAGTTTCTTAGTGTGGTGCATATTTGCGTTTTAACCTGCCTTTTCGGTAGACATGATTTGTTTTTTCCTCTCCAGCCAGTGGGGCCAGCAATCCATTTGCCAATTCTGAGGCTCTGTACTCGGGCCTTGAAGAGCACGTTGTTCAAAAAGTCCAACGTGAGCCATTAACAAGAGGTAGAAGAGGGAATACTGTATATCACAGCTGACACTCTTAACAGTTTTGTCTTTTATAGACTTCAAACTTGTAAACAGTCCCTCAAAAAAAAAAAAGATGCAACTCTGGTACTTGAAAACAAGTTGTGGAGAGGACCACTTCATTTTACTTTGGATTAAAGTTGAATGAAATAGGATAAAAAGTGTCCTTTGTTTTTTTTTTTTGTGAAAAATTAGTACACTTGAATACATTAAACTAAAAAAACTGTAGAACTCAAAATGAAGTAACTCATGAGCAATGACAGAAAGGGAGAGGAGGAGGAGTAACATGCAAATGTTGTAATGCATTTCTTATGGAAAGTGAGCAACATTCATTTACAAAGCCAGCAGCAGCAGCAGAGTTTTGGGGTCTTATGTCCAAACAGGTGGCTGGCAAATGACAAGCAGAAAATGTCAATTGAAAAATGGGAGCAGGCACACCCGAGGATAGAACTGCCCACCAGTTCCAGAACCAGGCCCCAGTAAACACAGGGCCTGCTTGTACCAGCTGTCCAGGAAAGGGTTAACAGATCTTGCGCCACCATCCACTCTGGCGCCAGACACGCTCACCGAGCTCCGTAGCCTGCAGCCACCATTCTTCATCACTCCAGACAGTAGGCAAAGTACACTTTTCCCACTACCCTCCGTTGCAATGCTTGGTCAAATAAACAGTGCACTCCTCAAAAAAGAATCGTTCTAATAAAATACTGTATACTAATCAATCCAGCATACACAGAAGTACAGCTTATCATTCCAGGTTTAAAAACAAGTTAGTAAAACAACACTGCTATTGTATAATCTTAAATTCCCACACCCCAGGGATGTTGAACCGAATTGAATAAACGAGAAAATTCAAAGTTTAATGACCAGCACAGCAATCTACATGGTGAATGTCCAACGTCAAGTAGACTATCTCAACGGGATGATAAATAAAGCCCAATGTAAATATCACCACAGCTATCAGAAGCATTTTCTTTCTTTAAGCTCTTTTAATAATGTTGTAATATTCCCTTGCATCATAGTGTTCTAGAGCAGTCCAATGGTGTGGTGCTCACACTTCCAGCTCCAGAGTTCGAGTAGAGTGCCTTTAGTGCAGAGTTTGCAAAGTTTTCTCTCGTTCATATTGGTTTTCACCAGGTTCTCTGGTTTGCTGCATCCCTTGCCAGCAATAAGCCGTTTTCTAATAATAGACAGATGTTTTCATTAACTAGTTTGTCAAGTAAAAACTTCTGCACCGATTCTATTTTTAGTCACAATCTATTTCCTTAATCACGGTTTTATTCTTTAGAGCAGCCGTCTATACATCATCACTCAATCTTCCCTACTTGCTATGTTCTACAGAGAATTGTAAGGAACAGCTCACCACACTCTCTACTTGGAGCCAATACTCATCACTGCAAAATACCACTTGAGTATCTTTAGCTCACGATGCATAATTACACCAGGTCTTCTCTTCAGCAACTACAGAGCGTGTAGCTATGAATTGTTGAAACATATCTAATGCTCGACTCTCACGATGTGAAACACAGTGATTCTTCTCTCCGTTTCGGACTAGTAAATCAGTCTGGACGTGCAAGACTGCTGTGCACCGTTGAATACCTGAAAAGTATTCTTTGCAAAACCCTGTCTTATTATACTTTATTGTCATTCATTTCCTATTGAAATGACCACTGACTGGGTTTGCACATGCATTTCAATCCAAATAGTAAAGATCTGACCTTAACAGGTTCCACAACTGCAGTCCTTGTAAAACAATCTCCTTTCATATACAGTATCTGCAGCAGGAACCAAATCGGCCACAGCCCTACACAAGCCTGTCCCTGACAGAGCCCCAGTCTACCTTGCTTCTTCCGTTTGGTCCCACACAGCAGGCCAGCCATGCTGCCCGGACAGAACTCCGTCCCTGATGGAGAATCCCTGTATTCTACAGCACAGAGAGGACGCGAGATGGTGCCTTGAGTGCAGTCAAGTGGAGAGGGCAGCTGGAGAGGCCAGAGCATGCCAGGCCAGTCAGCACGTGTTATTTCTGTCACAGCGCTGGTCCAGTTACACCTTGCGCAGCTTGTGTGCACATTGAGCGGAAACTCTACAACTAATAAACACTCAGCTAGCGCTGAGCATGAGGGCTGAATGGGAAGAAGAGACTTTGCAGGTAAAATGTCTCCATTTATTAAATATGCATGGAGGATATTCCCGAGCTGTATTTTATCATGCATGCAATTCACAGCAAAACTGAAATATTGTAATTGCATTATAGCCAGATATTCAAAATGAAGAACTGTTATAAGGATGGTGAATGATAGTACAAGCTTGGCCTATATTCAGTGGACAATACAGTTTACATTTTCTTTAAAAAAAAGGTAATATGTCCTACTGCATTACAGATATCAAAAACTTCTCATTGTAAAATAGTCACTTTCCTAAATGATAGTCTTGCATAGTCTTTGCACAGGCAAATAGAAGTACTTGGGGACTAAGGGGATTTCAATCCAATTGCTAAGGACATGTGGCAGAGAGGCAAGCAAGTTGCTCCCATTAACAGTTACAGAAATACCTGTAAGTTTCTGTTTTGCTCAATTGACATTGCAGAGGAGGCACTTGGGATCCCCAATGAGGAACTAAGGACCCCTACCCCCTTGTGAAAACATTGGTCTTAAATCAAGAATTCACTCATACTGTACTCCTCTCCTGCTTTTATTTGAGCACTTTGTAACTATGCCATTAGTATCATTGGAAATTGATGTTGTAATCCACTGCAGCACCAATCACATTTTGATATTGGGTGCTGTTGAAAGCATACTATTAAAAGCTAGCAGCTCAAGGGAGATTACAGAGCAGTGACTCTAAACCCATAATGTGCATGCAAGAGCAACCAGCTTGTGGGAACCACAATTTTCTTTCACTCCGTTGTGCAATTTATTGAACCAGCCGTCTGCATGGATTCTACAACAAGCCTTATATGCGAGGCAAAACAGGAGTGTGAGCAGAAGTTTGCCCATTTGAGCATGCAGAATTACTCACTTGGAACAGAGTTATTCATTTTAATAATGTCTTACGGCAAGTTGCATCACAGTCTGACCATGAATCTAACCAAAATCTGAAGACTAAAACCCTAAGAGTCACCGTGCTAAACTACCAAGATGATTTACGAGGATGGAAAGGTATAAATAACATTGCTAAAGGGAGATCAGTGACTTTAAATTTAGCCCACATTATTTATGACAGGAAATACTTGCCCTCTGTGACTAACAGACACATAATACCGGAGCCTCGTTTGTCAGAAGCACAGGAGCCTGGCTGGGATATATGACACACCTCTAGACTGGCCAGACACAGCCAGACTCATTAAAGTGCTCTCTGCCTGGTAAACAGCAACATGGGGTTTTCACTTGTGGTAACAGTGGATGGGCCACATGGAGAAACAATAGACAAAAAGAACAAATTATGTTTTAAGAAATTGTGTCGACTACGCAATGCAGTTCTGATCTTTTGGCAAAGCCCATAATCAGTAGTGCATGGCTGTCAAAGACTAATTTACATTCAGGCATAACTGTGTCAGTGAGGAACGGGTGGACTCTTTGGCTTCACATGCACAATGTGCTCAAGAATTCTCTCCTCCTAAAACCTAAATGGACCAAAATGCTTTTACAAGGTGAACTTTAGCACCATTCCTACAAACAAATCCACCTCGTACATTACAGACCTTCGCAGTATCTTCCATTGCCGAAGCCGAGTAAACACTAGGCTGGCACTATACACTGACTGAACACAGGAAACGCAGAGCAAGTGACATTGCTTCAGTGGAGATAAGATCGCTCTGTGGCATCAGGTTAATCTGAACACACCCTGTTGTCACTTCAATAACCTCATATCGTGGCAAAATACTTTACACGTCATACAAAACACTCCCACACAGATGTTTTCAAAGGAGTTTGATAAAAAAAAGTCTTGATTTTCTTGAGTCTACAGCAAGCAATATACAGCTCTTCAAAAATAGGCAATATCTTTACAACAGGAGAGAATGTTTTAACGTTATACATATTCTGTAGTGAAATACAATTAGTCCGCAATTAGGCAATTTTGGGGGTAAAGTACAGTATTACGTCCCGACCCGTCATGTGTGTCACAGAAGTAAGCTAGCAGACTTACAAAGGTCTTTTATAGTTTATAGTTACTTTTATTGTCACCAAGCTGCCTTTGAATAAAGGAACAAGTAAAGGTTTAACTTCACTTTCAAAATGAAAAGTCTAAACAAGAAACATTTCAACTGTTCAATCTTCTTTGTTTTAATCCAATTAGTGAAGTAACAGACTAAAGCATCTGGACTTCTCCAAAAGAACTATTTTACTGCAAATACTGTACTGTATAAGACTTAAAGGCACTGCAATTATCAGCATTATAATCAGAATATAACACCCCAATGTTTTAGAATTATTTACCAACAAACAGTACAATCAATAAATGAAAAATGACAATTATCAACCGTTTTTATTTTTGTAATAGGTTAAGGTGCGAGCGCTCCGATTCCGGTCTATAAGAGGTGCCACTGTGTACAGCATCATGCAATACAGCACCATCTTGTGGCGGAAAAGTTCATACAGCCGTTAGTCACTTCTAATAAAAAAAAACAGTTGAAGAGAGCCTAATTTGAACCTAAGAAAACGACCCAAGAATACAAAATACACACGTCTGTTAATAAAGGGTGGATTTTATAAATTCTTCATCCTTATATTTCATTTTTAAGGTATACAAAAGAGATTTTGTACTTTTCATTTTTAAATGCAGCAATGAGTAACAAGTGGATTATTTCAAGATTAGAAGGTGCATCTTAAAATCTGATCAACACTTTTGATGGTTGACTATATTTTGTTCACCACTGAGAACAGTATTACAAGGCACCCTTGTTGATTAACTTTCAACAGAAGGTTTCAAAAGCACAGAAGCACAGACAGGGGATGACAGAGAATGATAGTGAACTATTACCTGCAGCCATTAGTAGTGCCTCTTACTGGAGTCTGAAAAGAAGGCAGGTCCGATACAGGCAATTGCAAACACAAACTAGTTCTTTCAAGTGTTCTGCTCTGTAGCACTCATGAATGTAATCAATATCAGTGTTAAACACAACAATTAGTGGGCAGCTGTATCTCAATTAACACTCAAGCATAAAGCAACATCATACTGTACATCAGCCATAAAGCGTCAATTGATGTGCATTGACTGAAGAAAAAAAAATCTTTTGAGTGGCACCATTCTCACTGTTAAAAAAAGATGTGCTATTCATTAAGGGTACAAGCACAGCAGACGTCACTCTTCTATTAAAAGACTAGGCACTCCAAATACAGCTGTCAACACATCAAACTCCATTCCAGTCAAGAAACATGCCTATATTGTATACTGTATAGAGGTAGGGCTTTTTCATCCAGCACACCCAAGACCAGTGTTTTTGTACTCCAGGACATAGTTCGTCTATATGGCCTCTCTACATTTTTTAAAATGTATAGAACTCTAAAAATGAATATACTCGTATACTTAAAGAAATGTAAACATACTTTTCAGGAAGTCCTTGATTACCCTTCTTACTGAGGAGGCAGATGTTTCAGGTATACTCCAAAAAGGCAGTGAAACTGGAGAGCAGCTCTTGCAGACTGAGAACAGTGCCGTTCCCCCTGCTTTTCGCACCAATGACTTGCAGTTCTGAATAACTGCTGTCATTTGATGCAGTCTCACTTCTCCGACAATGAGGAAGGATCCAAGCTGCATTTCTTTCTCCTTGATAAGCTTTTATCTGCAGTAGCTGCAGCTATTTGACATTTGTTCCACTCTGCACCTCCATGAAGCTAAAAGGCTATTTTTTGGGGGGTTCTATAAAATCCTTAGCGATCAGGATTGTCTGATCTCAAAAGAAAAAGGTAAAACGTTTCAGTAAAACTTGGCGTTAAAATTGTTTCTGCGCAAAGAAAACATTGAAAGGGGAGAAAAACAGAAGCTCTGCGGGTTGTTGCACACGGAGGAGTTCTCAGAGCTCGTGAGTAACCAGGACCAAATCATGCCCGGGGCAGAGAGAGTACCTCATCATCTACACACAGGGAATAAGACAGTGACAGACACTGCTACCTGGAAAATGAAACAATCAGAGATTCTCTGTACAACCCATGAAATGATCATCTTTGAAGATGACGAAAATCTTTTAAGACTGAAAAGAAAACACCTGCAACCTTAACTTCAAAAGATGATTTTTTTTGTCCCTGTAAAAAAAAACAATTGTGTTAGTAAAGGCCAATAAAACACTGTAGTAGTTCAGGTGGGGAGCTGCGTCAGCATGCGTAGGCTGCAAAGGAACAAGTTTTTCCATGCTGAAAAAAAGAAGAAAGAAAACGCAACTTTTCGGCCGTGGAGCCTTCTTCAGGTGTGAGCTGAATAATACACTGGTTTAGTAGAGTAGGGTCTTGTCTGAAGGGTTTCGTTTTCAGATTATGGCAATCTACTGTACATCTGCGAGCCGGAACTGTCATTTAGTCGAGCACGGTTTCCCTCCAACGATTTTAACTTGCACGTTCATGTCCTATTCTCGATTAATTACAGTAAGCCAAGAAGCTGTTGTGGGACAACAACTGCGCAGTGGAATTCCTCAGTAATTGGCCCACCCTCTCTCTTTCTCCCCCCTCGGCCTCAGAAGTCCTTATATGGACACACAGACAGCCACAGCCTCTCCCACCAGCTGCTGTTCTCCATGTGGCATCAGAAAGTCAGGACGGAGGAGTCAAATGTAAAGTAGGAGGAGGGGTGACACACAACAAATAAAAGGGCTGCAAACACTTTCAGGGCTGGGCAAGTCTCTTTTCAAAGGGATGATACACAACATAAAAAGGTTTTTAGTGCTTATCTATTTTTTAGGACATGCATTCCTGCATAAGTAACCAATTTAATAAGAGCACTCTGTACCTTGCCTGTGTGATTTCAGCAGTTTGTTTGTTCCTCGTACAGTATATGATGCTGCATTATAGTTACATCCCTTGTAATTACACTGGATTTTAATTGCATCTCCTCTGTACATTTAAATCCTGTGTCATTATAAGATGTTCTTACTGATTTCGCGCAGTTCATTTTATCAATAGTTTTTTTTTTTAAAGGCAATTCAGGAATAGTGTTGAAAATGTTTTTAAAGCACAACCATGCTTTCAGAAATCTTTTCAGACACCACGAGAGTTTGTTATCCAAGCCAAAGAAAGACTTACAGCAAGTTCTTTGAAGAGCACTCCCACGAATGTCCACGCTCAGATTCCTCAAAATGCTTCCCACTCAGCATCTTTATCAGTTAATAATAATGACACTCCATTGTTATAATGACTTTTTCCATTGTAAACTCAGGTTACAAAATTAATAACAGTTTTACAGGCGGGCTAGCCTGTTTGTTTTGATGCCCAGTGATCAACACCTTCTGCTCCAGACACAGTCCATCTCGGGAGTGAGATGACTAGCAACTCTTATTATTGGATGGAAAGGGAACAGCTGTTCTCCAGATGTGGCTGAAGTGTGTGGGGCTTTAACCATCATGTCTGTGGTCACAGGATGACTAACTTGTGGATTAGGGTGTGGGTCTTCTTTTGTCTCACTTCCTTTCTGGTCGCAATTTGGTAACTATAATGGGATTTAACGCAGTTATTACAGGTATTGATAGAGGCTGCTGTATTGAGACATCTGTTCCTCTGATCTCCATAATTGTAACACCGACATTACCTAACCATCGGATCAAAAGCATACAGAAGTCTGCAAACCAATTACTCTGACATCAATCTAGGGTTGGGCAATACTGATACAAATGCTTGTTTTTCTTAGATGAAAGTCCTAAGCACTAAACAAGAAGGAAAAAAAAAGAGAGAATAACAAGGGAGTATGTGTATTCTCCAGCAGCAGATCTTAATAATTCTGTAAGCGCTGCGACTTTTGTATCATTTCCGATCAATATTACAGAAGAGTTGATTTGCACATTGTACTCAAGTTATACAACGAACAAGGTCATTCGTTCGCGTACAATGTTGTGCCAAGAGGCACTTTTACATCATAAACCCATGACACTCGTAACATGCCAAGTTAGTATCACACTCTCCAGATAACACAAGACATGAGAAAATAACAGGAAACTCAACCAACCTTCTCGGGCTTTTTTCTTCCGGACGAGAGAGCCTCCCAGTTTTCCCAGAAAGGACTCGTCCTTTTTCATCCTGCCGGACTGCGCCGTGGGGGATCTGATCGGAGCCGTAGACATCTTGATGCTGAAGCTGCTCCTGATGGTGGCTTACAGACGAATCTGTGCGGAGCACAAACCTCTTAGGAAAACAATTCAGAAAGAATACCTGGCTCTGCTCGCAGGAAGGGGATGTGGCGAGCCACCGAGGTAAAAAAAAAAAAATACAAAGTTAAAGAAATACTAAAACCAACCAAAACGCGTGTCTTGACAGGCGGAGGGAGCGAGAGAAGACCAATACAGTCTCAGTGGAACGGGATGAATTACCAGCCAATAAGAACAAAATGACCTACAGCGCCCGTCTATGGGCTGGATGTCTGCGTGGGAAAACTTGAGTCACCACTGCACTCTGATGTGGGGGGAGTTAGTTCCTGCAGCAATCAAATCAGCCGGCAACTGGTCATCAGATCTCGGAGCAACAAAGTGACCATTCCGTTTCCTTGTAAAACGGCACCAAAATCTGTTCAGTTTCTCAACAGGCGTCTGTCTGGTTGTGTTCACTCTTGGACAAAATTGGGTAGTACAAGGGCGATATACGAAAAGCATAGCGTTTTATCAATCGCTGATTTCATTAGCTCAGTTTGACCGACTCAAGGCGATACTCGCATTCCACGTGCATGCTTTATAATTAAACAAAAATGCCCAGGTCACCACTGATGGGGAAAATACCAAAAGTACCATTCCTTTTCAAATATAATTTTACAGTTTTCTATTTGTTTAAATATTTGATTTCCTGCCAAAATCAACAAGATAAAATATTTTCAATTCCTAAAACGAAAAATGAGCACTTACACTATTCACTTCAAATAATTGATCATGTACTTTAGTGATCTGGTGTTATGATGAAACAATTAACATTTATTTTTACTTTTTTGTTCACCTTTATTGTAAACGGTAAGTAACCTAAAAAAATGATTTCCCTTTCTGTAACATTTCAAGCACCGTTTATGCAGCAAGGGAGGTGGAGTATATGATTTATAACTCAATACAAGCTTATTTGAATTCCTATTTTTAAGAAGCCTGAGCCCGTTACACACATTAGACCAAGAATAACTGGCTCAGATACACATGGTTTACATAATCTAATGACCCAGGGAAGCCCTGCAAGAATTCATTCTTACATCAGTAACAGATCGCTCCAGCTGGAGCGGACTTTGGGCCTTCAATGACTTAGTAAGGCATGTATGAAAGAGGCCACCACAAAAACAGCCACAGTGAATACTTCACCTATCGAAAATAAGTTATCACTTGGAAAATTGATTGCTTGGTATGTTTGAATGTACATGTGCTGTTGGGTTCTGTGTAAAAGAGTGTCTTTAGTTAATCTGTAGTTGGTAAATCAAGAAGTAAGTAAATGGTTGTGTTATATAGTTAATCTGGAGTTGGTAAATCAAGAAGTAAGTAAATGGTTGTGTTATATACTGTTATTGTCATGTGAAGTTTATGTGTATCTGTGAAACTGTCTTACTCCTAACTGTATAGTTACTGCCCCAATGGACCTAGATATTTCTCCTAGAACCATCAAAGGAGATAAGTTTGGAAAATACTGCCAAATATGTGGATATTGCCAATATTGCCAAATTTAGATGCCAAAGAAGTTAATGAAGAATTTAATGTGCTGTTTTTTCTGATTGATGATCTTGTGTTTGTTGTGTAGTGGCAAGGCTTATTAAAAATACAGGAATTAAGTTTGCTGCTCCCTTGCCAGTCTCTCTCATCTTAGTGGTACTGGACATAGAGAGGCCATGTGATTTCAGATTTAAGGTATTTTTCTATCTGATAGAGTTTCCTGATAAGAAACAACTCCCAAGGCTGAGATTCACCAGCCACCCTGATAAATGGTCATCTCTGGCACCTTACTGTCTGGGAGATTCCTTGGGAGAGTCCCATCCCAGGTTGTTTACAACCCTAATGTCAGAGAGCACTGTTACTCATCCTCCACCTCGCTCAGCCAATCAGGAACTGGTAGGGCAGGGTAACCCCACGTGGGTCTCGAATGC